CATAGGATCCCCTTGGAATTTTTCGAGCAACTCACAACTTTTAATGTTTCACTGTGTTATTATTATTTTTTATTATTATTATAAATACTATAATTATTATTATTATTATTATTATTATTATTACCATTATTACTACTACTACTATTATTATCACCATCATCATCAATAGTATTATTATCTTATCATATTTAATATTATCATTTCATTATCATTATTTTGACAAACCGTGCCAATCGCAGTCTGGGATACCCTGTTTCGGCCGATCTCAAATTTGGCAACTCGAGATACGAAAGGCGGAGTGCCCACAGTACCTGGGTATTGTTGTTGTTGTTGTTATCACCATCGTTTAAATCATTATTTTCAATATATTAGTCCTTATTATATCCTCTTATTACTGTTATCATAATCATTGTATGATCATTATTACTAATATTATCACAGTGTTATGATCATTATTATTAAGATTATAATAATAATAATAATAATAATAATAACAGAACCCGGAGATTTTTTTCTTTCCCTCCCACTGCCCTCCCTCACCTCCTTCACTCCCTTATCCTCTTCCCTTCCTTTCCCCTTTTCTATCCATGCCTCTTAGCCTCCCTTCCTCCCTTTTTCTCAGCTCCCTTCCCAGGGGCGACTTTTCATTTTTTTCTAGGGGGGGGGGGGGCAAGCTTGGCGAGCGAAGTGACCACAATCAGTTTCTGGAGGCGCTGCCAGCCCCCCCTCCCCCCCTGGAGAAAACCTGTGAAAAATTAGCTACGACCAGAGCTATAAAGGTGTAAATTAGCAACGACCAGAGCTATAAAGGTGTAATTTTGGGGAAAAAATCTTGCGAGGGTGGCGGGGGGAGGCAGACCTTAAGGGAGCCAATCGGAGTCTTGGGGGAGCAATGGCGCCCCTCCCCCAGCCTCCCTCAAATGACCTTTCTTTCCCCTTCCCCTCTTCTCCCTTCTTAATCTCCACCCTTGGATTGTCGTGTAAATGATAAATATGCACAGACTGATGGTCTAACTGTTTCATTGCAGTATAGAACGATCATGATAACAACAATAATAATAACTATGACGATAAAGTGTGTGTGTGTGTGTGTGTGTGTGTGTGTGTGTGTGTGTGTGTGTGTGTGTGTGTGTGTGTGTGTGTGTGTGTGTGTGTGTGTGTGTGAATGAGTGTGTGTTATTTCATATCTATGTTGTCAATTATCCCCTTATTTTACATCATAAGGAAGTAAATTCAACTCCGCAGTCACATGGGATACGTTTTGTGGCTTACCGTGCCCATTTTATACGAAAATATAGCGACTTCGACATCGCATTCATATATGACGTCAGTCAGACTATTCCAGCATAATGTGAACATATAACACATAATCGAAGAGATAATAATATTGATGAAAAAAAACAATAATGATAATGATAATATTAGTAATGATGATGTTAATAATGATAATAATATTGAAATAATAATAATAATAATAACAATAATAATAATAATAATAATAATAACAACAAAACAATAATGATAATAATAACAACTAACAATAATAATGATAATAATGATAACAATAACAATAACAATAATGAAAATGTAAATTACAATAATAATAATAATGATACAGGAATGATAATGATAACATTAATACTACTGATAACAATAACAAAAATAATGATAATAACAATAGTAAAAATAGTAATATCATAATAATAATAATAATAATAATAATAATAATAATAATAATAATGAAGATGACAATGATAATAATATCAATAATGATAATCATTATCATCATTATCATTATTATAATAATTGTTATTATCATATAACAATTATTATTATCATTAATGTTATTATCAATAATAATAATAATAATAATAATAATAATAATAGTAATAATAATAATTATTATTATTAAAACAATAATTATCAATATTATTAATATTATCATAACGGCAATAATAATAATATTAACAGTAATAATAATGTAATAATGATAATAATAATAGTAATAATAATTACAATATTACAATATTATTATTTGCAATATTATCATCACTATTATAATTATTATCATTATGATTATGATACTACTGATAACAATAATGATAATAACAATAATAATAATAGTAATATCATAATAATAATAATAATAATAATAATAATAATAATAATAATAATGAAGATGACAATGATAATAATATCAATAATAATAATCATTATCATTATCATAACAATTATTATTATCATATAATAATCATTATTATCATTAATGTTATTATCAATAATAATAATTATTAAAATAATAATAATTATAATAATAATAATAATAATAATAATAATAATAGTAATAATAATAATAATAGTAATATTAATAATAATGTAATAACGATAATAATGATAGTAATAATAATTACAATATTACTATATTATCATTTGCAATATTATCATCACTATTACAATTATTATCATTATGACTGTTATCTATTATCATTATTATTACCTTATTGTTATTAGTGCTTTGATCACTATATCATCATAATCATCATTTTCATCTTCATAGTATCATTATCATTACCATCATGATTATTATTATTATTATCATCATCACTCATCACTATAATAATTACTGCTGTTTTTGCTATTTCTTATTGCTGTTGTCTTTACCATCATTAGTACCTACCTATAGGAAGAGACTGAGCCAGCACATGAGGGGAAATCTCTGGGTATTTTCTTAACATGCTTGTAGTCTTCAGATTTGTATAGATTAGCATGTACACACAAAATAAACCTCCTAAGCCATTTAATCTGCACTTCCTAAAAATGTTTATTGAAAATGTTATATATATATATATATATTTTTTTTTTGTCTGTATATAAATAATCATGATAGTGCAATTACAAACATGCAATTTCAGAAATTATAATCAAGATCATAATATAGGATAATAGTATTGTGTCTTAAATCAGACAATCTGTGGATTACTGCCCTTTTGACCAGACTGAGGCACACTATCTGGGATAGTAGGTGATACAGACATGCGTCACTTACCCAACCCCTGCTTGTTTGAGGACAATAAGGATCTATAGTCTGTTCTTAAATTTGTTAAACTATTTTGTGCAACTATAATATTATAGAAATGTTTTGAAGCCTATCCAAACATGCTTTTCACGGGGCTTCAGGGGCGGATGACTTGGACATGTCATCATGGAAAAATTTGATTGAGGGCCAAGGTCACATGAACTTACCATCATAAAAGTTTTAGCTGAAGGCCAGTGATGGGAAAGACTCACCATGAGTGCACAAAGCTCTCGAAGGATGATTAGACGCAGTAGGCATCTACAAACATATGTGGAATGAGGTACCCATGAACCATGACTGGAAGAGTGCTGGCTCCAGGGAAGACACTATTTCCATGCTCAGGATCCTATTCCTGCCCGTCATAATTGGTGACACAAATTGTAATACAGAAAATTAATTATTACAAAAAAAATTAAAGTGACACAAATAAAAAAAAAATGTTACTTAATGTTGTTATTACTGCACTGAGTTATGGACTACCTTGAGAGATATGGAGTCTGTACATCATCTGGATAAAGCAATTCAAATGACAAATATAGACATTGGAAAATGGGAAAAAAGCTACAAATGCTTATGAATAAAAAGAGAAAATTACTTTGTAAAAAAAAAGCATTTAGTCTTGTTACCACACACAAGCCTACAAGCCACAGATCCATCAGAGTGGCTGCTCCAGTAAGAACAATGCTCATATTATGGGCCACAAGTGAGCAATGAAACATCCAGATTCAAGGGGTTAAGGGAGAAGCTTATTACAGCATACTTGATGAAACTCTTGCAGGAAGAACAAAGAATGGCATAGGTGCCCACCTTTGAAGTAGAGGAAGAGTGAGTGTGGACCAAGATGCAGCAGAAAATACGCAACTGGTAAAAGATGACCTTCATCTGAGAGGATGAAGGGAGTGACAGAGAGAGAGTAGACTTCCTCACTATAGGGGGTAAAATGAGAATATGAACTTCAGGAATCTGTCTAGGGAGAGAATTTCAGTAGAGGTTAATATGCACCATGGACAACTGCATAAAAAAAAATTGACAAGGACAGCTTAGCTTATTAGAGATCACACATGTGCAGTGCAAAATGGGACAGTGAGGTAAAAAGGTGAAAAGAAGTGTGAAAAGAAGTGTCTGCATTTCAATGTCTATCTTTCTGCTATACATGAGTCAGAAGAATATGGCCAAATAGTATACTTGAAATCCCATTCAATGTGAGGATAATGAAGGTGTCAACATATCTCAGCCACAAAGAAAAGAAAAAGAAAAAGAAAAGAAAGTAAAATTAACAATACTGGAGACAGAAGCTTTCAAATCCATGATTCAATTGGCCTTATCTGACTCTGGAAACTGACTCAGTTCCAGGATCAACTCCAAATTGGCCAGATCAAGGTTACCTATCTGGGGAACTAAATGAGCCAGACCTTGAGTGTTTTTGGACAGTAATGAACTACTGTCTATGATTATCTCAGAAGTTTGAAAAGTATAAATATGCAGTTCTGGCACAACTGAAATACTTTCTGTCCCTGTAATGTAATTGAAACAAGAGGCTGAGCAGCAAGAGGGCCAGAGCTGTGTCTGGCTTATGGAACCATGGCTTAACAATTCATACACTTGATCTCCTACAACTATTCAGACATGACAATTAAATTCTGGAGGATTTTCAAACTGTTGTCTTATCTTTCAATAAAGCTAAGTTGTTTATACTGTTATATTTTTCTAGCAACTATTACTGTTTTCATTATCATAATATTAGTATCATCATTATTGCTAATATCTTCATTATCATTATTGTCATAATATCTTCATTATCATTATTGTCATCATTATAATTATTGCTGTTATCAATATCTGATGTTGCCACTTCTATCAACATCATTGTTAATGAAGTTACTGATATTGCTGTTACTACCAATGAAAAAATAAAATTACAATAATAATTTTTAATTTCTTTATTACTTTATTATTATTTTACATTAGATGTGCTAGATAACAAGAAATAAAATGGTACAATAAAATGTCAACCTATTCTGCATGACCACAATATTACTCACCTCAAGTGCCTAACAATTGTGAAAAAATAAAGAAAAAAAATCATGATAATGAAATAAAAGACCCCCCCCCCCAAAAAAAAAAGACTCAATTCAGACTCAAGTGAAAACACCGTCAGCAATTTCTGTCATCTTTAAGCCACCAAGAGTGTACAGAAGATTCTCTTTGCTGGCTTCTTCGCCTTCATTCTCAACCCAGATCTGAAGCATAAGGGCTGCTTGATCTGCCACAGTACCGTTGTCTTTGCTCTTCTCACTTTCAATGTACTCAATCTGAACAGAAAGAAATTGTGTAATGAATAAAAATAAGTGCGTGAAGAATTGTAAATAACAATAATCTATATATTCATTTTAATCTTTAAGGCAAGTTCTAACTGACCAGCAGTTGAGTTTGCAGATTTCTATCAAATCAATCAAAATAGCTAGAGAAATTTTTCTAATAAATATTGAAACTTTTCTATTTTTATATTCATCATTCTAAAATCAACAACAAAAAAGCACAGCTAAAATATCAACCTATAGATAAAGAAACACAGCCAAGATATACACATAAATAACAAAAATAACAACAATGAATACAACACATCATCTACATCAAAAAAGATAAATAAACATCAGGAATGCCACACCTCATCACTCTGAAATCCGAGTTTCTTGGCCAAGACCTTCCACTTGTCTCCACCAATCTTTTCAAGGTTCTTTGCTAGGGCTCTTTGCTCCTCTAAATTGATGGCACGGATCTCTGGTCTCTCTGCTTCTGCTGTGTCATCCTCCATGTCCTCTTCATCTTCCTTCACTCCATCATTCTGTTCTAGAACTGGGATCACCTTATCCTCTTCCTTGTTGTCTTCTTCATCTACCTTAATGTCTTCTGAAAGCTGTGACTGGAGGAGAAAAAAGAAGATATAATATTTTGTTCCATTTTTTCACAGAATCGACTTATTTCATCAGATTTGCTTCATATTTTGGATGAAATTTGCTTTACAGATATTGAAAGATATATAAACTGAAGAGGCTGATGTGCAGCAGAGTATGTTTAGAGGAGGATCAAATCAGAAAATTCTGATGTTTCCGTAACAGAAATGGAAGGTTTAAAATCCTTCCAGATGGTGTGGCAAAGAATAAAACAATCACTATAAATTGACTGTCTTCCAAATTTTCTTAGCCTCTGCATTGCTATATTTTATGTATATTAATATGCTGTCAGGAATTTGTAATGCTCTGTTTTGTTTTGTGAACTGTCTTTACACATAGATGATTCCACAAATGCTTAGGCACCAAGGAGTAAATTAGTATTGACATAACCTCATCTAAATTCTCATTTCCTTGAGTTTTTAGGATTGTTTTCCCCTAATACTACTAACATTAATGATGTTATTATTATAATTGGTATAATGATTTTTGTTATATCATTAACAATATGAATAATAATAAAAAATAAAATAAATTCTTTCTGGAAATCAAGGAAAGAAATAAACAGATGAGATACATAAAACTAGTGAGTAACTCCTTGGTGACTTATCAATAAACTAAACTTGCAGTGGACATGGCATGTATGTCCATACCATCGCTGGCAACAATGGGTTAATCCTGCGCATTTTCTGAGACAAATATCTTTATGTACCTAAATGAGAAGTGGCAAACTCCTTAAAAGATTTAGTGATCTTCACTGTGTCCCTTCCAGCTCAGTTTTCAGATTATATTAGAAAATAACAAAACATAAACTTCAAGAAAATACAGAATATATGTTAAAAACTTTCTTATATCTGCTTTAGTTTATTATAGAAATAAATCACATTTTTTTTTTTTTTTCTGTTTATGCATATATTCCCCAAAATAAAATGAGAATAATATTTGAAAACCTTCCTATACTGATAAGTGTACAATTATATTTACTTTCCAAAGATTGATTCAGAATCAATTTTGATCATATGGAGCATAACACAGAGAAAATATATATATGATTCTTTTTATACTGATTGATAGGACTGTCTCCCTCCCAATGACAATAGGCAACATGCAATATCATCATGAAGATAATTCCTAAATGAATTGGTAAAGATAGGGTTAAGAGAAGAGCTATGGACTGTCCTACAGATAAAGAATGATTCTGAATAAATGCATTGATGAGTTTGAGTGTATAATTTGAGTGTGCATGCATACTTACAGGAAGTTCCTTTGCCAACTTCTTGATCATTGTTGTTAGATATTCTGGCAAGGTGGCAATGGGGCTGGCAGAGTGTGTGAAAAAGTGTGGAGAACGACAGGCCAACAGTCGCAGACCTCTCCAACCGAAATTGCTGTCATTCACCAATCTACCAAAAAATTTGTCATTATTAAATGAAAATAATTAATTTGCAACATCCAGAAGATGTGAAATTTTTG